TATGAGGATTGCTGTAAAGTAACTGACACTAGTCAGTGACTTGATGCAATTTGCTGGGTTCCTTATATAGGAAACATTATTTCTGATAGGCTTAATGAACTGACCTGGATTGGAATGTTTATTATGTGAAGTGCCTTGAGATGACTCTTGTCGTGATTTGACGCTATATAAATAAAATTGAATTGAATTAAGTTGATCTTTTAAATCAAACAACATCGAAAACACCTTCCTTTGAAATTCTGCAAAAAAAAATTTATTACATTAATTTTTTACACACCTGCACACATTTTATGAATTAAAAAATGAGAAAAAGCAGTTTAACATCATGGGAACTTATATTATTTTATTAGCCAGTGTTTTAAAACTAACACATATAAAACGTCTTACTTGTAGTTGACATGTGGTAGGTGCTCTTTGAGGATCTGCTGTCACCTATTTTGAAACATAATAAAGAAATTATTTTAGAAAAATTGTAAACTTCTATTTCAAAAACGTGACTGGACAACCCCGTGGTTTTGAACAGTCCATTATACCATCACTTCTGTGCTCACTCCTCGGTGCAGCTGTCGAGAGGCAAAACAACATTATGAAATCCTGTTATTAATTTTAAATAGTTATTTACTGCTCAAGAAACATACTGTATTAGATGAAATCAATGCATCCCTGCCAAATAAATGTAATACGTTTCTTTAAGCTCTCCCCCAAAAAACATTTGTTACCTGCCAAAAACGTAATGCGTCGAATGTAACAAACAAAACAATGCTTTCAACATGGGTAATTATCATAAATGTATGTAGCTTATAAACATTATATTAGTGATTTGTGAAGGATAAAGTGTAACTGAAGGCCAGATTAATGATGATGAATTCATCTTTGATCACCGTAATGAATTACATTTAACCTCAACCTCAAAAGGAAACTGCTTAGTCAATCCCCTGATCTGAACGGCATTAAATAAGCCTCAAAGAACAAAGTAAAGAACTCGGTGTTACTTGGTGACCTTTCTCAGTGGCCTAGTGGTAGAGTGTCCTCCCTGAGACTGGGAGATCAGGGTTCGATTCCTGGTCGGGTCATACCAAAGACTTTGGAAAAAATGGGACCCAATGCCTCCCTGCTTGATACTCAGCATTAAGGGGTTGGATTGGGGGGTTAAACCACCAAATGGTTCCCGAGCGCGGCTGTGTCTGCAGCTCACCGCTCCCCCAGGGGATGGGTCAAATGCGGAGAACAAAATTCGCACACACACCTGTGTGTGTGACAACTAATGGGACTTTAACTTTAACTTTATCTTTGACTGGTATTGTCATTCAAATCCCACATTAAATAGGTTTGTAGGATTTTCTTCTTCCACCCCCCAAATATTGCTCTGATTAGAATAATCCTTTCAAGGCCCCTCATTTATCAAACGTTCGTAGAAACCGTCTTATATTCCCTCCTATGAATGAAATTTAGAATGTGTATACGAACATAAGGTGGCCTCTCTTACGCATGTTCCTCCAATCGTCTGTTGATAAATCCCACCTGTGCGTACCCAGTTGCTCGTGTCCGCTCACCATCATTTACATACAGAAACACCCTCAAGTAACCATATTTGGTTACACTACATGCGCAGCTTATGAGGGGATTCCCTAGGTGCGTCCTGGGAAATAATACTTTATTGACAGCAAGATATAGGGCACTGGCTGCCGATTTAGAAGAGAGCAAACTAGTTGAGGGGGCTGTAATTTTATCATTGTAAACGTGGTCTGGACAGAGGAGGGGTTCCTGTCAGAAATAAAAGAAATAATGGTTCGATATAATATTAAATATGAAGAAATGTAGAGAAACGGACAGAAAGTTTCATTATGTTCTCGATTACAGTTTCCATTTAAAGAGTTGTCTGCATGTTCTGTTTAGTTTTGTTCCTGTTACAAAATATTTTTTTGATACTGCAGCCTCCTCTGAGCTCAGGACGTGGAACCACTCTGGATCCACAGCAAGCATTGGTGCGCTCACGGAAGATGTGTCCTTCCCTGAGTGTCTGCCAAATCCTCCATTAACACGAGATCGTTGGTTACGTATTGTAATCCCGGTTTCTATCAATGGAACAGCCCTTAAGCCACGCCTGTTGGGTTGTTACCGTACAACCGACCTATCAACTGAAGATCTTTAATGTACGCCCGCCTATCAGGAGGACCCTGGTCCTATAAAAGAGACCGAGGACCATAGAATGTCTTCAAAGGCTCGAAGAACCCCCCAGAACCAGTGAGGCCAGGGGTTTAAGGGCTATGCCATACTCATAGAAACAGGGGTTACAATACGTAACCAACGTTCTATGTCACATGGCTCTGCCCTCAAGCCACGCCTGTTGGGTTAAGGTGGAGCAGGATGTAGTAAACGCTTCACTGGTTGAGAACCGGAAGCAAAAACATCCAGCATAACCTAAACACATTTGCACACAGCTGTCGGCGGGTATAAGATAAGACAATCAGCTGGAATGAAATGCGACACAGTCAAAGAATGGCACCATGGAGGAGCCCGAAGAGGTCGCCAGAGACTTCCTGGCAAGAAGCCAGGGAAGCAATGGGTCCTGACTATCGACATATATATATATATATATATATATATATATATATATATATATATATATATATATATATATATATATATATATATATACTGGACAATTAATTTCCATATACTCGTATTATGAGGTTTTCTTTCCAAATGGGAGGTGGCCACCACCGCCATTTTAATTGTGTCACACGTCCCGTCATGCCCAGACAATCCAAAAAAGGCAAAAGAGGTGGAGCTGAGGGTGGCGCTGTTACGGTTGGAACAAATGAACCAATGTAGCTACTAACTAACTGAGCTAATCCAAGAAGCAAGGGGCTCCGGGAACTCGGTCGCCTGGCTTCCATGTGAGGCTGTGGTCGTGCAGGTCGCCTGTGGAGATCTAGACTGGGACTGTTAAATTACAACAGAGCCTCGGACCGCTGCGATCGTAGCCAAGTGCCGTGGCCTTGAACATCAGCTCATGCTAACGGATGTTATCTAGGAGGATTGTGTGTGTGTGTGTGTGCCTGCTTTGTCTTCTTAATTCCCAAGTAAGTCGTGGCGGATGGCTGCTCAAACTGAGCCAGGATCATCTGGAGGTTTATTCCTGTTAAAAGGAGTGTTCTTCTCCACTGTCGCTACATGCTTGTTTAGTATGAGGATTGTGTATCAGTGACTTGATGACTCGGTTCCTTATATAGGAAACTTTTTTTTACTGACTGGCTTAATTAACTGAACTGTATAGGAATGTTTACTTTGTGATGGACCTTGAGACAATTCTTTTTGTGATTTGGCGTTATATAAATAAATAAAATTGAATTGAAAATATATATATATATAAACATCTCACAATACAACAGTTTTTGTGCATTTTAATCAATGCTGCCTTGATAAACTTCAGAAACTACATTCAAAAACAATCAAATTTGTACAATTTATACAGTTTGTACTGATGGTGTATATTAGGCTGTGTTTTCAATAAGGCAGAATGTGTTTAAAATGAGATGCGTCCTCTGGAGCTGGGGCGTACTGTGGTGCTGGGGTGTCCTGCGGTCCTGTGGCGTCCTCTGCACGCTTTGCACTGACATTTTAAGCACAGGGAAAGTTTAAAAAATGAGTTATAACAACAAAAATAAAGTCATTTGAGCAATTTTTAACACTAACACTTTGATATAAAAATTGAGTTGGTTCAACTAAATTTAGGTTCTAGAGGACAAAACAAATCATGTCGGTTGAACTGAACTAATTGAGTTAGTCCAGCTAAAAAAAGTTTCATGAGAATTACTCGATAATGGCTTAGTTGGAATTACTTAAAGTTAAATGCAAAATGTTACAACATTTTTTTAAGTTGATTTTCTTTAGAGTGTGTCAGTTTGGTGTTAGGTGTTGGTTCGTCTGTTGTCACTCCCTCCTGTTGTCATTGTCAATGATGTTATTGTTTTTGTCTGTTCTTGTTGCTCCTGTTCTACCTGCATACCTGACCACGTTAAAGGATTCCACATCCCTGGATCTCAGAGCCTCACCCACCTGCACATGGATCCTCCACAAACCGTCACCATGCCACCTCAAGTCTTCCAACAATTTTACTTTTGGCTTTCAACTTAAATAACGTAAATAAACAACAAATAAGAATGTTTTCATTCTCTCTCTCTCTCTCTCTCTCTCTCTCTCTCTCTCTCTCTCTCTCTCTCTCTCTCTCTCTCTCTCTCTCTCTCTCTCTCTCTCTCTCTCTCTCTCTCTCTCTCTCTCTCTCTGCATCCCTCTAGAGTCAGATGTGTGGATGATGTAATTTTTTTCTTACCAGGACAGATGATATTGTGGCTATTCACAATGTTTTATGACAAGAAATCTAATAAAAATGCTTTGAAAACGAAGAACGATATGTGATATATTTGTTTGCTATATCCCACGAGTGAGAAGATGAGCTGCAGTAGCTGTCTCTATGCGTACATAACAAAGGTGGAAGAAATAACTCGTTTGAAACAAATTTTAAAGGCATAAAAGTATTTTAAACCTGCTGATTATCTTGCTCCAAATCACGTGACCCTACGTGGTTGTTTTCGATTAGCATAGAATAAAACATCAAAAATAAATAATTTCTCAGAAAATCTTTAAAATAAAATTTCATTCAGCTATTCACAACACATGTAAATTTATCTATTGTCTAAAAATATCTACAAACTAGTGTTATGACTATAAAAACTAGTGTTATGACTATAAAATAAGATAATAAATAAATATTCACCCACAAAAAGGTGCAAAAAAACGTGTTTTTTTTTGTTTGGGGGCTGTTCTGGTCCTATTCCTTCATCTATTTGTGAGAGAAGTGTGACACAATTACCAAATGGCATTTAGCTCCACGCGTCCAACACTCCCCTCCAGCAGCAAAGCCCAGAGCGCCACCCCTTCCTTGGCTTGTGCGTAAAAGGGGGGTTGACACAAACAAAAGCACGTTGTAGGTGTCACTGGCAACCAGTCTGGAAGCAGACAGCGGAGTGAATGACCAGATATCTCAGCTTCTCACAGAAAACAGACGTGTTTTCAGGAATGGAATTATTTCGCTTTCGTTTCATCTGGATAAACGTCTGAGGTATGACTTATTCATTTATTTGTTGAATGGCAAAACTGGCGAACAAATGTCAGTATTAAAGCTTGTAAGCTAAAAAGGACTAACATCTTGTAAGAAATGAGATTTAAAGGTAAATGTTGGTCTTTTTTCTGTGCGTAAAAGAAAGAGTAAGCGCACTTTCCTTTGATATACCCAACATGAAAGATGATAATGAACACTATTTATTGGTTGCTTTGATATGCATGTCTCTGGGTTGACTCTCCCTCTGTGTGTGTGTGTGTGTGTGTGTGTGTGTGTGTGTGTGTGTGTGTGTGTGTGTGTGTGTGTGTGTGTGTGTGTGTGTGTGTGTGTGTGTGTGTGTGTGTGTGTGTGTGTGTGTTTCAGTGACCATGCCGTGCGTCCAGACCCAGTGCGGCTCGTCCCCGCAGGGCGCCAGCCCCGCGTCTCAGAGCGCCGGCGGAGAGCGCAGCTGCGACTTCCTCACCCCGGAGTTTGTCAAGTTCAGCATGGATCTAACGAACAGTGAAGTCTCCGCCGCCACGTCCGGACCCGTTTTTGCTCCTTTGTCGGACGGTTACAGCACCGGGTTCGACGTGAAGCCCCCGTGTCTCTTCCAGATCCAGGGAGAGCTACCGTGCGTAAAGGTGGAAGAGGCGTACAGGTGTCCGCGGTACCAACCGACGCACCCGTCGGACGAGCAGATCTCCTCTCAGAGTCCTGTGTACTATTACCGCCCCACTTCCCCGCACACATCCAACTTCCAGACTCCACCGGGACACATCTGGGAGGATTCAAGTTCTTTTTACGGTTTTCGACAGGACTATTTGGCTGCGGCGCACCGGAAAAACGCGCTCTCCAGGTTCTCTTTCATCTCCCTGAAACAAGCGCAACACGGAAGCCAGAGTTTGTCCACCTGCCAGATGCAGTTCGGCGGGTCCCTCCACGTGTCTATGAACCTGGACGGAGGAGGAGCGCACCAGCCGATGGACGACTCCCCGGTTCTGCCCTCCTCTGGCGTGCGAGGCAAGCATCCCGAGGTGGGCTTTCCCCGCCCTCTCCTCACCCACGGTCACCTCTTCATGGAGACCTCTCCGGTCGCCGGTAGAAGTCCGCTGAGCTCGGAGGGGCTGTGCGCGGTGTGCGGGGACAACGCAGCTTGCCAGCACTACGGAGTGCGCACCTGCGAGGGCTGCAAGGGCTTCTTCAAGGTGAAACACAGATTTTAGGGAAAACAAAGTGCGTCAAAAAAATTTTTATCCACAAATCTGGCCAAACTGTTCCATAATTCAGCTTTAGAACCAGAATTCCCCAATCTCCAAACGTGATTGAACGTTTTACCCCAGAAGCACGTTCTCTTGACAGACGCGTTGGGCCAACTATTCCGCGTGAAAGTGGCCTCCAACGTGCCAAGAATAGAAAGTCCCCTTTATCTCAGGAGGATTCTCCCGGGGGTGATTTTCTAAATTATGAGTGACCACGACTCGGTGTTTACCCACGCTGCCCTGCCTGCCTGTTGAATGCCTCTCAGCGCCTTCACGGGGCCCACATGAGCTAAAAGCTGCTGCTAATGATCAAAGAAGCGAAATTTTAACTTTAATTTAAAATGCTTCAGGCACTAATGGAGCCATTAAAAATGATAAGGAGTGCTGCAGTACTTCCTTGCGTAAAATAGCAAGCCATTCATATATACATACATATATATATATATATATATATATATATATATATATATATGGCCCCTTTATTGGGTACACCTTGGTAGTACTGGGTTGGACCCACTTTTGCCTTCAGAACTGCCTTAATCCTTTGTGGCATTGATTCAACAAGGTTCTGGAAACATTCCTCAGACATTTTGGTCCATATTGACACGATAGCATCCCGCAGTTGCTGCAGATTTGTCGGTTATACATCCATGATGGGAATCTCCTGTTCCACCACAGCCCAAAGGTGCTCTGTTGGATTGAGATCTGGTGACTGTGGAGGCCGTTTGAGTACAGTGAACTCATTGTCATGTTCATGAAACCAGTTTGAGATGATTCCAGCTTTATGGCATGGAGCATTATCCTGCTGGAAGTAGCCATCAGAAGATGGGTACTCTGGTCATAAAGGGATGGACATGGCCAGCAACAATGCTCAGGTAGGCTGTGGCATTGTAACGATTACCAGTTGGTACTAAGGGGCCCAAAGTGTGCCAAGAAAATTTCCCCCACACCATTACACCACCAGCAGCACCAGCCTGAACCACTGATACAAGGCAGGATGGAGCCATGCTTTCATGACGTTGGTGCCAAATTCTGACCCGACCATCTGAATGTCGCAGCAGAAATCAAGATTCATCAGACCAGGCAAGATTTTGTTCCAATCTTCTATTGTTCAACTTTGGTGAACCAGTGTGAATTGTAGCTTCAGTTTCTTGTTCTTAGCCGACAGGAGTAGTGCCCAGTGTGGTCTTCTGCTGCTGGAGCCCATCTGCCTCAAGGTTCGACATGTTGTGTGATCAGAGATACTTGGTAGGAACGAGTGGTTATCTGAGTTACTGTTGCCTTTCTATCAGCTCGAACCAGTCTGGCCATTCTCCTCTGACATCTGGCATCAACAAGGCATTTTCGCCCACAGAACTGCCGCTCAGTGGATGCTTTCCCTTTTCTAGACCATTCTCTGTAAACCCTAGAGATGCGTGAAAATCCCAGAAGATCAGCAGTTTCTCAAATACTCAGACCAGTCCATCTGGCACCAACAACCATGTCTCGTTCAAAGTCACATACATCACCTTTCCTCCCTGTTCTGAAGCTCGGTTTCAGCTGCAGCAAATCGTCTTGACCATGTCAACATGCCTAAATGCATTGAGTTGCCATCATGCGATTGGCTGATTAGTCATTTGTGTTAACGAGCATTTGGACAGGTGTACCCAATAATGTGGCCAGCGAGTGTGTATGTATGTATGTATATATATATATATAGATATAGATATAGATATAGATATAGATATATAGATATATAGATATATATAGATATATATGTGTTATATCAGAAATACTGTTAATTTAAAATGTCGTCAGTTTCATTTAATTGCACGATGGTCCAGCACACTGTAAAATTTTATTTGAACATAATTCTTTTAAGAAAGATATTTGATTGGCTGCAACAATTTTCACAAGAAAACAGAACAGTTAAAAGCAGGGCTTGTGTTGACCGGACAGTTCCCGTATTTGACCGTTTATTTTGACGGAGAAAGAACAGAAAGAATTACCCCGACGCATGCAGACGAACTGACATTTTATTCGTTTTGCACATCGCAGATGTAGCTAAATCACTCAAGAAAAGATTCCCATCTGAACATCTGAGCTGGACACTGCTCAGCGCCGCTCGCTGTCAGCGCGTACGTAAAGTGCACAGCGAGCTGAAGATATGGAGAGGGGCTTGGTGCGCGTCGCAGCACCAGAGCGCATGCAGGAAGATTCCTCCGACTGAAGCGAGACTTGTCACTCGACTGTCTGCCGGGGCCTCAAACTACTCACCCCCTCCAGCTATGGCTCCCCACGATGTAGCTGTTGAAATGCCAAATGTTACAAAATCCAGCTGGTGTTGAATTGTAGCAGCTCGTATGGTAACGGATAAAATGTAGCTGCTAAATGTTGAAAAATGTAGCCATCTACATGTTCAACGTAGCATAAACGTAGTAATGCTAAATGTGTTCAAATGTAGCGACGTGTTAATTTTTTGTTTTTGCGTTGGCTTCCAATCGCGGACTCCTTAAATGAAACCAGGTGTTAAACTGGTTGACAAAAGATAAGAAGTCCAGTAGCGATTTGAATCCCGCGGCTGATGTAAATGTGCTGATTCTTAACAACGTTCTGTGGTTTAACAGTCTGCTCAAGCACGTCTTTGTCTTTTCTCCATCTGTTCAGCGCACAGTACAAAAGAATGCCAAGTATGTGTGTTTGGCAGCCAGGAGCTGCCCCGTGGACAAGCGCAGGAGGAACCGATGTCAGTACTGTCGCTACCAGAAATGCCTGGCGGTGGGGATGGTCAAAGAAGGTGAGCTCTGAAACCTGAATCTGTAAAGCTCATGTCGTTTTTGTCCAGTCCCAAACTCGGACTTGTGCTCCTCAGTGGTGAGGACAGACAGCCTAAAAGGTCGAAGGGGTCGTCTACCGTCCAAACCTCGAGCTCTCCCAAACTCGTTCCTCCATGGCAGCACCCTTCTGAGCGCCCTCGTCAGAGCACACGTTGAGTCCAACCCTCCAACGTCTCGCCTGGACTTCTCCAAAGTAAGAAGATCTGAATCACACCGGTGAAATCGTATTTCAGGTACAACTGTTGGCTTTTCTTCTGGTGAAAAATCTGCAGTTGAAAGACAGTCCAGGAAATCCACCAGGGGACGAAACTCAGCACGTCCGGCAGTTTTACGACCTCCTGACCAGGTCGATGGAGGTCATTCGGGGTTGGGCTCAGAGGATCCCAGGCTTTGCTTCCCTGCTTAAACACGACCAGGACCTCCTGTTCTACTCCGCTTTCCTGGAGCTGTTTGTCTTACGACTGTCGTACAGGTGAAGCTCTCACTGGAGCCCAGATTGTAGGAAGTTTAAAAACTTCACCTTTTTTCCTGATGCACCCCGTTGTTTCAGATCCAACCCGAGTGAAGGGAAGATGGTTTTCTGCGATGGCTCGGTGTGGCACCGGCTGCAGTGCCTACGGGGCTTTGGAGAGTGGATCGACAGCATTGTTGAGTTCTCGGCCAACCTGCAGAGGATGAGCCTGGATGTTCCCACCTTCTCCTGCATTTGCGCCCTCGCCTTGGTCACTGGTAGGGTGCTTCTCCCTGACAAACACATATGACATTCAAAAACAAGAACTTTAATCAAGAACCCTCAAGACAAAATACAGAAACTCTTTAGTCATCAGTAAATAAAAAAGGAAAGAAAGATTTATTTTTATACAATATGTGTAAAAAATTATTGCTTTACTGAAGTTAGAGTAAAAATGCTATAATAAAAGTAGCTTTTGGCTTTTGGCCAACAATAAAAATTTAGTTTAATTGAAGTCTGTTAAACTAAAACGAACCCTTCTGACACAAGGAGACATTATGATTCAAGTAATGATGTAAAAATAGCTGATTTGATTTTAAAAAGAAGATTAATTGAATAAAAACATCTTCAGAAAAATGAGGTCAAAACTATTAAAATTGTTTATTAGATCATTTCTAGAAGGAGAACTCGTTTTCCTAATTATATTCATATTTTTGATGCATTTGATGCAATCTATTTATTTTAGAAATAGTAAAAAAAATGAATTATATATATATATATATATATATATATATTTATGAAATCTGGGGTTTGATTCAGAGAATAAAATCTGGCTCACAAAAAATTGCCCTAAAATGACCAAATCTTCTATTTCATACTTTAGTTTAACACTCTTATTTGTAAATGTTCAGAGCGCCATGGGCTGAAGGAGCCAAAGCGGGTGGAGGAGCTTCAGAGCAACGTGGTCCGGTGTTTGAGGGATGGTTCAGAGGGAGGCGGTCCGAACCGCTGGTCCGGCCACCTGTCCAGGCTCCTGGAGAAGCTTCCAGAACTCAGAACTCTGTGCGTCCAAGGCCTGCAGAGGATCTTCTACCTGAAGCTGGAGGACCTGGTGCCGCCACCCGCAGTCATAGATAAGTTATTCCTGGACACGCTGCCCTTTTAGGGACACTTTCTGGGATGTTTGACTTCTTCTCATGCAGACGTGTCGGCGATTCCTGACAGACTGAGGTCGTTGCTGCGCATAAAAACAGCAAATGCATTAAAATTCTGAGTGAAAATCAAAGTAAAATTGTGACCAATTAAAATAATATTTTTGGTTTGTTAACAAGTTATAAATAATCACCATCCTACCTGCTGCAGATAGCTTTCTGAACAGTCTGGAGAAGAAGCCTTTACAACCTATAGGATTGATGGGCTAAAGGCTAGTTCCAGTCTTTAGTTATTAATGTAAACTTCCTCAGAGACGTAAGGACTTGCTCTATGGAAACGACATTTTGCTGCTAGAGGTGATGTTTATGCGTCTAAACGTCCTAACATCTATGCTGATCTAGAAAAGAGTTGTCTTTTATCAGATACTGCGGCTAACGACGAAAGGGTCTGTTAGGCAAGAATAAAAATGTTAAGCAGTTGGGTTAAGCTTTTTATCCTACACTAGTGAAGACGCGGCTAAAGAAAGATGCATGACACCCAACAGGAAGTGTTTTCCATAATCAGGGATGCACATAAGTTGTGCACAAGTAAGCACGCACATCAAACATAGTAAATGTGTATTACTGTGTTTGCTATTATGTTCCATTTCATAACCGTGTTATGTCAGTGGTGGTGTTCCTGCCAGTTCCCCCTTTAGCGTGTGTTTTTGCAACTGCGCAACACTGCCCAAGAGGCATAAAAAGAGCACATGCCCGTTAGAAGCTCACTCCCAGCGCAATGTCCTTACAGGGTAAGTAGGGCCATCACGTTTAACCCTTGAAATAAAGCCTGAGCTATAAAATTATGTCAACTTAGCATTCAAACAAATGTTTCCTGTTTCTCTTTATTTCAGTATCATACTTGATTTTGTCCTTACATTTGTCCTTTAAAAAAGAAATCTGGATATTTTTCTCAGAGGGCACTATCTAGGTGGAAAAATGGTGACACTTTATTATAATTGTCTCTTTATTACCATTACTTAGTGCCTTTCAGTCCTAAAGCTGGTGAATCTCTAATTCTACAAACCTACGCTGTTTGGGAAGCTGTTTGGGGTTTGATGGGAACTATTTATAACTTTTAAACTGAAACAAACTATAGTCTGAAATATGAGACTTGAAGGGGATTAATGGTGGGAAATGAGAGAAAATCAGTTTGTTCCTATGAAAAATATTTTAATTTTTTCTAAGATATTTTTGAGCATCAGGCAGGCCCATCGACATAAAAATATTGGACAATGGGTTTCCAAAAGCTCCAATGACACATTTTTGAAGAGAAATGGGAGGTGGCCACCACCGCCATTTTGACCGTGTCACAGGTTCCGTCAAGCCCAGACAATTCCACAAAAGGGAAGAGAGGTGGAGCTGAGGGTGGGGCTGTAAGGCTGGGATCAACTGACGACACCCGGTCGAACTAGCTACAAGCTAACCTGAAGCTAACCCAAAGCTAACGCGGAGGTGGGAGCTAAGCTAACGGAGGTAGCAACCTAGCTACAACCGGAGTTAACTGTGCACAACACCAGAGCTTCTGAGTCAGAGATGCGCCGGGCTGACCGCTGGGTAAAACCGGGTGGAACACAGAGCTCTCCCGAGACCTCCACAAGCCGGTAGCCGCACAGCAGACAAGCGCCGCTGCGATCTGAGATGCGCAGAGCTGCCATTGGGGAGAACCGGGTGGAAAGGATTCCATCCCAGAGCTCCACAAGCCGGCAGCCCGCGCAGCAGACACAAGCCGCGATCAGACAGAGATGCACTGAGCTGCGGGGAGGAGAGAACCGGTGTCGGTACAAGATCTGCTCGGGTGCAAGATCGGCTCGGGGTCCGTCAACTGCCGATGACGTCAAAGTAGTTGATTGGCTGAATATGACCCTTACGGAATTACGTAATCACGTTGATCCAGGCAAATTTTTCTGTTGGAAAGATGGACAACTTTTGCAAAGAAATCCATCATTACCTCTCTGAAAATACACTTTTAGCATAGAGCTGCATGTATATTAGGGCTGAACGATTCATTTCATGTGCAATTAAATTGCGATGTGACAAAAGGAGATGTTCTAATCGCAAAGGCTGCAATTTGGCAGCGAGTGGTTAGCGCAATGCTAATATACATGGAAAAACCCATAGGAATGCTAATGCTAATATCACCGATTACATTCTTACAAATTATGAATTAGAAACGTGCCAAATGATTACATTTGGAGTCTAATAGAAAGTAAAACTACCATCAATCAAATAAGTACAGACAGGTATTTTAGTAAAGCCAGAAAACGTTTAACTCCAGAGTTTTGGCTAGCAGCTATGAGCATACCTGAACTACGCATGGACAAGCCGTCAGAAACTCTAAACACAAAATACTTCAATAAACGGGACACACTTCTTTCCTGCAAATACAATTTCACAGGTATTGCTAATACCTATGATCCTTCAAGGGATGTGCTCAAAGAGGAGTTCAACATTATGAATAAAATAGTGTTTTATTTTACAAATACCATTATAAACACAAACTTACGTCTTAAGAAACATTATTTTAATAACAATACTGCTAACTTCTTTCCACCACCATAGATGTGTTGTGTATTTTGTCCGAGTGGGTTTGCCGTACTTTGACGTCATCGGCAGTCGAAGGACCCCGAGCCGATCTTGCACCCGAGCAGATCCTGTACCGACACCGGCAGCCCACGCAGCAGACAGAAGCCGCGATCAGACAGAGATGTGCCGAGCTACGGGGAGGGGAGAACTGGGTGGAAAACATCAGTCTCCCGAGAGCTCCACAAGCCGATAGTCGGAACCCAGCTTCACCAACATGTTATATTTCAACCCATTTTCTAAAGTGCAGCATTATGTTAAATGCACTGGGTTTACCCTATTACATTTAAATTTCATGGTTAAACAGTACATGTTAAAATCTAAGCTCAGCTCGGCAGTGACCTAAAATACATACATAAATATAATTTTACTTACCGAAAAAAATGAAGTGGAGACTCCTTGGACACTCTATTAGTGCAATTAATGCAACAGCAAGTCATTTTGTCCAACAAATAATATCCAAAACAGAACACACAAACACACAGACTCAAAATCCCGGAACAGTTTCCAGGCCAGACCGAGGCTCTACTGAGGCCTTTCCACGGAGCTAGCTCTGTGGTCACGTGGGTCTGATGCTCATTAATTATACAGAATTTTAGGCTTTTAATACACTTAAACAGAAGAGTGAGAAAAAAATCACCCCCCTCAGAGTTGTCATGTGTAAACTAGATCATTTAAACCAAAAACATGTGTTGGTACCAGGCTGTAAACATGTTTATTTCTGCTGTGAAATTGGTATTTTTAACATGGGAGTCAATGAGGATTTGCTCGCTTCCGACACCAGCCCCTAGTGGATGAGGGTGGAACTGCAATTTTTGTAACCCACGTTGGCCTCAATTTTTCACCCGCATTGTGGGGGCTTGGGCAGGTCATACCTTTCCACTATAGGTGAGTAAAACCACGTGATTCAGTCATTTTCAGGCTTGTGTGAAAACATTTTTGATACAAAATAAGTGTGTTTCTCTCTATGCTTTTATTTATCAGTAGTGTGAGTTTTGACCCAGTTTGTTTTTATTCATGTTTAATAAATTAATATGTTTGAAAAAATGATGATTGTGTTATGTTTCCTGAGATGTTCTTTTTAGATTTGAGGTTTAATTTGCTAAACAGTACATAAGATGAAAGTGATTATAAATATTGATGTCATTTGCTTTAGTATTTTATTAGCTCTGACTCGTCTCCACCAACATTCTTCTCGTGCAAAAGGTCACTGTGTGTGTTTAAAACATTCCAGTTAAAGCAGCAACACAGTGTTTGCACACTTGAAAAGGTTAAAGGTCATTGATGCATTTTATTTATGTTGTTTATCTTACTGCTGTTGGCGATGTGACATTTCTACTACCCTTTGGTCACAAGTGACATTAAAACATCCGTTTCTGCTTCGGTCGGCAAACAACAAAAACAGAAGAAGTGGAACATTTAAGTAAGAGTGTAGTCTTCAAATTCAAAATCAGCACAGCCGGTTTACAGAATGCTCTTCTAAATGTATAAAAGTGGATTTAGGTGTTTTGAAAAATAAGAACAGGATGACGATCTTGTGAGAAATAGACCTGCAGCTGGATTTTCCACACAGTCCTGCGGTTTGTTGGGGGAGATGCAAACAAATCAATGAGAACGTCTGATAAATGTCAGATTTATTCCAGAGATGATGGGGACTGATTTTAGTTGGGGGGTTGGTAGGCGGAGTCTGCAGATTACAGATATTCAAACTCAATTCAAATTCAAAGATACTTTATTAATCCCAGAGGGAAATTAGAGTTTCAGTAAACACAGTTCAGAGATCAGACATACATAGGCAAAGACGCATGAAAAGAATTGGTGACTGTGGTCATTCGCAACCCTGAGTCGCGCTACCTTAATAGAGATAAGAGGGTTACATGAGGATTGGTTCAGGTGGAGGGAAAAAGGCACTTCAGAGTTACCGTCCACAGGGAGGGCAGCTTTGCTCTGCAAAAAACACCTCAGACAGAAATGCAACCGACTTCAGACATTACACAACATAAGTGTCCACTAGGTGGGGAGGTGGGTTTGGGACTCTCCACACGTCAGTTCCTGCAGCTACGATAAGCAGCGCACGTCACCTCAGTGTGGACAGGGGAGGGAGGTCGTTGAGGTTTGGAGGGCACAGTGACTCCTGGAACAATTCGGCAGCCTTCACAGCCCGCAGTCCCGCCCAGGCTGGGATAGGAGACAGAGTTGCCATAGCGACGGCAGGATTCCACATTTCTTCTGAGGGGGAGTATTCGTTGCAGCCTCACAGGCTCAAGGGCACCAGATTCAGATTAGAAATTGTTTTGGGGCCAGACAGAGATAATTTCCTCTCTGTCTTAAAGTTCCGTTGGTCCTCAACCTCTCAAAATCCCAATAATGGCGTAAATTAATCTATCCCAATCCGTGCTGATTTGTCCACTTTCTCCTTGATGGCATCCATCGTTTGTGCCAACGCATGAATCTCAGCCAAAGTTCCAAGCTTACGATTCATCTCGACAATTATGCGAGTCTGTGAATTCACAGTGCGGTGTAATCCATCCCTGAGCTGGGGAGAGCGCCAATATTCCTCGACAGCTTGTTAATTTTCCGGTAAGCCAGGAAGCCTCCAAGGCCAAAGAGCAGGAAACCTGACACCAACACCAGGAATATCCACACATCTTCAGAATCCTCTACAGACAGCTGAGAGAAACATATCAGGTTCCACTGTTCCAGGAGTCCATGATATGCTCAACTGGGTCTGTCCCAGAGGGGCAACCGGGAGCCCCTTCTCCCGTTCTCATCATTGAAAAAATTTGATCAATCGCCTTAAGTGACCAACTGACGAGATCATTTTTAGTAATTTCAGTTTCCAGTTTCCAGAAAAAATGCTGAAGCAGCCGTGCACCCAAAGACAGGCAAAAAGCCTTGAGGATAAGATAGGGAGGAGAGGAGGAAAAAAGCGTCTGCACTCTCCAAGAGCCGGAAGAAGAAGTGAAAATGTCAGGATTGTCTAATGAGTTTTGAAAGAACAGCGTCTGGACTTCTTTGAGTTGCTTGAAGACGTTTCACCTCTCATCCGAGACGCGTCTTCAGTTCTAAGGTCAAATGGTGGAGAGTCCCAGATTTAAACCCAGTAGGAGTTTCCCCCCGAGGAGGGAACAAAAGACCCCCTGATGATCTTCTACATAAACACATTGAGAGTGGGTGTGGGTCCTATTCAGCCAGAGTTTCGGGTGAGCTCATTGTGAAACCTGGCCCCACCCTATCATGTGAATTCCTGAGGTCAGGACTCTCCACCATTTGACCTTAGAACTGAAGAAGCCTCTCGGATGAGAGGTGAAACGTCTTCAAGCAACTCAAAGAAGTCCAGACGCTTTTCTTTCAAAGCTCATTAGACTACAATGACCTGGATGACTGAGAACCTTCACAGACAAATGTCAGGATTATGTACAGGTTCTTCTGATGCAGGAACACAGACAACAAAAAGAGCAAATGATTATGGGTCTCCAGGCTCATGAAGGCCTAAACACATTAATGTGTCAAATAAATGCAAAGAGCAACTTTCAAGCATAATCTTCTGGTGATTAATGGAGAGAGTGTCTATGTTAACTGAAATGTTATTTTGAAAATGTTTAAAAGAAAGAGGTGTCTCAGCTGGGTTTAACCAGTGATGTCACGGTCCCAAAGAAGATTGTCTGACTCACTGAATCACAAAATCTTGGGCTTTAGAAGTTTTAGCTAGATTAATTTGCACTGATAACCTCCGTTTACAAAAGGAATCTAACCAGCAACTGCTGGTTTTAAGGGCCGCAAAAGGCTAAAATGTTATGCATTCGCTGTAGCATGAGATTACATATAATGTCTTTTTTCCAAGATGTTATTTCAATGAAACATTTAGTGTTATTATTATTTCCTTCCCTCCCAAATCCATTTCTGCATATGGAGTCAAGTGTTTCAGGGTTTGTGATGGAGATCTCCACCCTGGAACACGTAAACGTAGATTATTCTAGAGCCTGGCCACCAGAAGCTGCTTGTTTTGAGGATCCTGAGGCCCTCAGGCTGCTTGGAGCAGCACAGCAACCTGGTGTTTTTCATCCGGAGGACGTATACCTCTTTCTGCAGACTTTGATCTCAGCAGTTGTCCAGCTTCTGTAGAGCTTTAACCGTTATCGCTGTCTGGCCAGAGACCACCAAGCATCAGGGTCAGATGATGGATTGATAGACAGGTTGCTGGTTATTCTCAACGTGTAATCTGAGATTAATAGAGCTTTCTCATCAGATGCTTTAATTAATCTAAATAAGGAAGTCTTACCTGTATTTTATAAAGATCATTATCATCTCCAAATTATCTAAAAGGGGCAGAGTTTTTTATACCTGTTTCACTCAAATTCCATTGTTTTCTACAGAAAATGTCTGTTTATTTGAATTTTGTCCACGCTTTACTATATACTGCTACTAACTTACTATATACTGCTACTAACTTACTATATACTGCTACTAACTTACTATATACTGCTACTAACTTACTATATACTGCAACTAACTTACTCTATACTGCTACTAACTTACTATACACTGCTACTAACTTACTATATACTGCTACTAACTTACTATATACTGCTACTAACTTACTATATACTGCAACTAACTTACTCTATACTGCTACTAACTTACTATACACTGCTACTAACTTACTATACACTGCTACTAACTTACTATATACTGCTACTAACTTACTATATACTGCTACTAACTTACTATATACTGCTACTAACTTACTATATACTGCTACTAACTTACTATATACTGCAACTAACTTACTATATACTGCTACTAACTTACTATATACTGCTACTAACTTACTATATACTGCTACTAACTTACTATATACTGCAACTAACTTACTATATACTGCTACTAACTTACTACATACTGCTACTAACTTACTATATACTGCTACTAACTTACTATATACTGCTACTAACTTACTATATACTGCTACTAACTTACTATATACTGCTACTAACTTACTACTAACTTACTATATACTGCTACTAACTTACTATATACTGCTACTAACTTACTATATACTGCTACTAACTTACTATATACTGCTACTAACTTACTATACACTGCTACTAACTTACTATATACTGCTACTAACTTACTATATACTGCTACTAACTTACTATACACTGCTACTAACTTACTATACACTGCTACTAACTTACTATATACTGCTACTAACTTACTATATACTGCTACTAACTTACTATATACTGCTACTAACTTACTATATACTGCTACTAACTTACTATATACTGCTACTAACTTACTATATACTGCTACTAACTTACTATATACTGCTACTAACTTACTATATACTGCTACTAACTTACTATACACTGCTACTAACTTACTATATACTGCTACTAACTTACTATATACTGCTACTAACTTACTATATACTGCTACTAACTTACTATATACTGCTACTAACTTACTATATACTGCTACTAACTTACTATATACTGCTACTAACTTACTATATATTGCTACTAACTTACTATATACTGCTACTAACTTACTATATACTGCTACTAACTTACTATATACTGCTACTAACTTACTACATACTGCTACTAACTTACTACATACTGCTACTAACTTACTACATACTGCTACTAACTTACTATATACTGCTACTAACTTACTATATACTGCTACTAACTCACTATATACTGCTACTAACTCACTATATACTGCTACTAACTTACTACTAACTTACTATATACTGCTACTAACTTACTATATACTGCTACTAACTTACTATATACTGCTGCTAACTTACTATATACTGCTACTAACTTCCTATATACTGCTGCTAACTTACTATATACTGCTGCTAACTTACTATATACTGCTACTAACTTACTATATACTGCTACTAACTTACTATATACTGCTATTAACTTACTATATACTGCTACTAACTTACTATATACTGCTACTAACTTACTATATATTGCTACTAACTTACTATATACTGCTGCTAACTTACTATATACTGCTGCTAACTTACTATATACTGCTGCTAACTTACTATATACTGCTACTAACTTACTACATACTGCTACTAACTTACTATATACTGCTACTAACTTACTATATACTGCTACTAACTTACTATATACTGCTACTAACTTACTATATACTGCTGCTAACTTACTATATACTGCTACTAACTTACTATATACTGCTGCTAACTTACTATATACTGCTACTAACTTACTATATACTGCTACTAACTTGCTATATACTGCTGCTAACTTACTATATGCTGCTGCCAACTTACTATATACTGCTGCTAACTTACTATATACTGCTGCTAACTTACTATATACTGCTGCTAACTTACTATATACTGCTACTAACTTACTATATACTGCTACTAACTTACTACATACTGCTACTAACTTACTACATACTGCTACTAACTTACTACATACTGCTACTAACTTACTATATACTGCTACTAACTTACTATATACTGCTACTAACTTACTATATACTGCTGCTAACTTACTATATACTGCTGCTAACTTACTATATACTGCTGCTAACTTACTATATACTGCTGCTAACTTACTATATACTGCTGCTAACTTACTATATACTGCTGCTAACTTACTATATACTGCTACTAACTTACTATATACTGCTACTAACTTACTATATACTGCTGCTAACTTACTATATACTGCTGCTAACTTACTATATACTGCTGCTAACTTACTATATACTGCTACTAACTTACTATATACTGCTGCTAACTTACTATATACTGCTACTAACTTACTATATACTGCTACTAACTTACTATATACTGCTACTAACTTACTATTTACTGCTACTAACTTACTATTTACTGCTACTAACTTACTATTTACTGCTACTAACTTACTATATACGGCTACTAACTTACTATATACTGCTACTAACTTACTACATACTGCTACTAACTTACTACATACTGCTACTAACTTACTATATACTGCTACTAACTTACTACATACTGCTACTAACTTACTACATACTGCTACTAACTTACTATATACTGCTACTAACTTACTATATACTGCTACTAACTTACTATATACTGATACCAACATACTACATACTGCTACTAAAAGTCACAGAAAATTATTCTCAGTTGAGCCACACATTTCTTATCCAGTGGTGGTACAGACTGTGACACAAACTCAATATTAGCAGGAGAATGTTAACAAGCTCTGTGGCTCTTTAGCCGTTCATAAAGCCACACATTAATGTCAGATTTTCGCAGTACAGATCTATTAAAATGACTCTTTGTGTAGGAGAAGCAATCAGTGGATTCCACTTGATGCCCACTTATCTTTGAACCTTCATGATAACTGGGAGGGATCAGTGCCCCATCGGGCTCTGATGGGAATCCTTCTGGGATTCTGAATCCAACATTATTATTCCACTCCAACAAAACAAACACATCAAGAACAAAGAGAAAATCCTGAGTGGTGAAATGATCCAACTGAGTGATGTTTGACTCACAATCAGGGGATTTATACTTTCTTCAGGTTTCTGCTGAGAACACTGGGTTTAGTTTGAATGCTTCTATGGTTCATGAAGCTTAATTAGCAGATATGTGTTTCTAAATTAAAGAATTAAACTTTGAAGAGGTTTAGGTCAACATGAACATCCCCTGGTGACATAAACGTCTGATTAAATGGATTTATTGGAACTAGAGCTCAGCAAACACTCACTCGCGCTCACTGTTAGCTACCATTAGTCTCTGTTAGCCTACTTTAGCCACTGTTGTGGCGCTTACACATTAGCATTGGTTAGATGCCTTGCAGTCCCTTCTGGGACCGGAATTTGGTTTCAAACACAGGTCAGATTTGTGTTTTCGGTTCAGCAGCGACTCTTTTTTCAGACCTTCTCTCCAGTGGTCAGACTGGGACCGAGGCAACACTGAATGGCCGGCTGAAATTACGCCAACTGCCTCTGATCTGTGAGAAGAATGATCCAGCGGGGGTGGGGTGGGTGGGTCCTGCATGCATGATTCATTTTCATTCTGGATGCTGTTGAGTAAACTTCTGTCTGTAGCACAGAGCTGCTGTTCCGGAGCTGCCGATCAGTGCGGGAACGGGAGAAGAGAATAGCTCTGTGTGTGTGTGTGTGTGTGTGTGTGTGTGTGTGTGTGTGTGTGTGTGTGTGTGTGTGTGTGTGTGTGTGTGTGTTTGTTTGTGGGACACACACAGCAAATTAATAAAATAGTGTGCTTCCGGGTCTCCAAAAGCAACACAGCTCAAATCCGCCTTTGTTTACCTTATTATGGAAGACACCGCAGATTTTCCCACATGTATTAAACGACTCCCACTACGGGCTCAGGAGTTTCCGCATTCCTGAGAAGTCCCTCAGATCTATATGTGAACACTACACCTCCCGTTCGAGACCAAACTCACGCCATCCAGCCTGACCAAACCCTGACCGTGCCGACGCTGATGTGTAAGCGCCATTAGCCTTCTTTAGTCAATGTTAGCCAACATTAACTTGTGTTAACCTCCTTTAGCCTTGGTTAGCCTCCATTAGCCATTAGCAAGATTAATAAAAAAAATCTGTATTCGTCATTTGACTAACTCAGACTGAGAAAAAAAAAGGTCCATTCTGGTGGTTGTAGTTTTATAAATGGTGTCCAATAAATCTGAACACCCATTCTTTCAATTTTAGATGTTTATTATGAGCCTGGGATGGACTGGCTTTCTGCCCAGGGTGTACCCCGCCTGATTGCCCATTGACCGCTGGAGGTAGGCACCAGCCCCCCCCTCACCCCCCCACCCCCCACCCCCGCGACCCTACGTGGACACAGCGGGTTCAGACAATGGATGGATGGATGGATATTAATATGAGCTAATCTATAAAAATCTATGTTTTTAAAGTAAATTATAAAATAAAAAGATAAATCTGTGAGTATTTAATAATGCTTAGGCCCCCCACCCTCCACAGGGGGACCCAAGTTTTCTGTCAGGGTGGCACTGGCCCACCCTGGACCCCCTCTAGGACTATATGTTATGGCCACCAGCCTGGCCTCTTCAGGTGCAGGAGCCAGGATCACCCAGCCCCGGTGGTCGGCCAGACACCGCCCCTCCTCCTCCTCCTCTCCTCCAGGCTGCTGAGGAGCACAGCTGAGCTGAATCCCTCTGACAACCTACACCTGAAACACTGTAGAAATAAATAAACATGCACTTAACTCTATCCTTCGTTTCCCACAATGCACCTGTCATGATTTTTGATCATCCAGATCATGAAAAGATCATACATTTGCAGCAACTGAGTGTACTGAGATAATTAAAAACTGTACATAAAACTAGGTGCTTTTGTTTTGTATTGGGGTTCAGATTTATTTTGAAATCTGAATGAATTCCTGCCAGTGCATACACATTTTAACTAGCAGGTGGATAAAATCTCTCAGACAGATTTATGAATCTTTCAGGGTGAAGAAAACAACTCCTGGAGCGGTTTTGTCTATTTCAGACCATGTGATTTTAGTGGAGTCCATTAAAAGTGGGAGAAGCTGTGGAAAGCAGAGAGAAAAGTAATCTGTGAGCCCTCCAACTTCACACAGAGCCCTCTGCTATCGCTCCATCTCAAACCATCTCTCACATAAAAAACAAACAAAAAAAACAAGATGACTGGAGGTTTTTGAAGGCTCAGGAGGACTTGGAGGTTTGTTTGAGGATTATCCGGAACGGCAACAGCCTGGTGAGATGAGAACTTCAGTAAAGCGTGATGGACAGGTGAAGTTCACAAAGACTTTTATGGTTTCTGAGTCTGCTGAAGTTATCTACGTTCTGGGATCCAGTCTGATTCCTGGAGCTAAAGTGGTAGCATCTGGAGCTGAAGGAAACCTGAACTTTGTTCTCACCTATAGGACACGGATTTTATTAAAACTCCCAGGAAGACTTCGTAGAAGGACCACCTAGAGCTGATCATCATGAAGATGTCCGCTGCAGCTGATCAACACGAGCAAACACAGAAATGGCTCATAATTTCACAGATGCTGAACTCTAGTTTTAACCTGATGGAAGCTGAGAGTCATCGTACCGGCTGGCTCATAAAAAGGCAGGAAGTCTGATCATTTTCCTGGACTTTATCAGGAACACACTGCTGCTCTGGACTCATCATCATAATTACAGCTCCTTTTAGTTTTGTTTTTTTACACAATTTTGCAATCATTGAGCCTTTTTGACCAGTGGCGGCTCCAGAAATGTTTTTCTGCAGGTGCTATGTAGGAGCTAGTCTTTTTCTTGAAGGTGCTATGAAGGAAGCGGTCGTGCGTACCTAGTGTTCTCTAAAACACCTTCAACACTAGCAGATACACGTGCGTGCACAAAACCTCAACAACACCTGAAGCAATCATTAATATACATCATGAACACATGAACAATCGCTGACTTTTCCATGAAATCATAAATTAGGCCTGAACGATTTTGGAAAATAATTTAATTGCGATTTTTTCTTCAATAATGCAATTACAATTTAATTCACAATAATTTTCTCAAGGGGCTTTTCTCATTTTTCAACTAATGGAAGCAAAAAAAAAGATCTATGTAACTTGTATGTTTTTGAGCGAAACTGCGGTAAAGATGGCCGTTTGCCCTCGTTATCAAGTGTACACCCAAGCCCCCCACGGTTTAGAAGCGGCGCTCATGCAGGCGTCTTTCTCTGTTCCGATGCTGCGACATGCAATATTTTTTATTTATTAAGTCTACAATTTGTTTTTACTTAGTAACGGATATGATTTAAAATGTAGCGAATTACAATTCTTTTTTAAAAAACATACTCAAGTAAAAGTAAAAGTACAGATTTTCTAAATAAATTCAAAAGTATAAATACTCAAAAAAGCTACTTAATTACAGTAACGTGAGTAAATGTAATTCGTTACTTTCCACCTCTGGCACCTGCTAGGGTGGAAAATATCAAAATATTGTAGGCAGAGCGCTCTCCTTCCTTCTGTTCTGCGTAAACCCGAACTGGCCACCTACTTGTGCGTAATCAAATGTCTATAGGGGAAAAGATGGAATAGATATAGCCATGAGGTTCACTTTTGCCTCAGACCGACGTTTTGCTGTTTTATGGTGTGGCTGAGTCTGCGATCCGCTGCCACCATGGCTGCCACGCGGACTGGAATAACAAATGCTGCAGTAACAGGAGTTGTGGTCAGGTTCATGAGGAGTCACTGGCTGGAGCGGACCCGACTTTAATACGTCATCCCAAAGTAGAAGCTAATATCTTAATTTGACCTTGAATGAAAAATGTTGTAATAAAATCTCTTAAAAGGTTTTATCACGGAGGAGGCGTGCGCAGGCCAGAGTGATGAAGCTCGGCGCATTGTTATTATGAAGCTATAGGGCACATGCGGAGGACACACACACGCGCAAAAATATACTTGTTTTCAATTACATTTATTGGGCCCACTTACTTTTTCTTAGGCCCACCCACAAATGAGTTTCTGGCTATGCCAATGGTGACATATGACAGACTTCTCTGAGCTCCGTAGCCATTACACTTTTCACCTCGCGCACCCCCTAGCGGCAGCTTGCGCACCCCCTAGCGGCAGCTCGCGCACCCCCTAGCGGCAGCTTGCGCACCCCCTAGCGGCAGCTTGCGCATCCCCGGGGGAATCCCTGTTCTATTGACAGATACGCACTGGCAATGTGCAGCGGACTCGGCATGCAGGAAAAGGATGAGAAAATAAACGGGGGCAGACACACCTCTGGTCAGCGCAACAATTATGCACAGCCAACATCGGTTAAACTAAAGCCTCCTCGGTAAACAGTATAGCACACAGAGCTTAGGCCACCATGTTTTAAAAGTTAAATCATGTAAAAACCCATCAAATAGGAAACAGTACAACCAATTTTGGGTTTTATTTTCTTGGTACTGATCAAGTTAGGATAGGTACTGTGGACTCAGGAGGAGACAGGTTCACCTATAGCCTCCCCACCCTTCATCTCTGACCATCTGACCATGTAGATCAGTTTTAAGACTAGCTGGTCACTCTCTGTTCTGACGAGATAGTCATCCTCCTCTCATTCAGCTCTGTAGTAATGCCTCGGGCCTTTTGATAGAAAAACAGTGAGAGCTCCCGTTCCATCAGGAAGTTGTGGTAGATAGTGGCGAGGCGGGTGCACAGCCTCAGCTGAGCTCTCTTGTTGCCCAAATCCACGGCAGCAGCAAGAGCCAGCTGATAGTACCCAGCAGCATCAAACGGGTCCTGTGGAGACACCAACACAACTCATGATGGATCATTTCAGAGCAGCTGGTGGTGGACAGGGGTTTGTCTCATTACCTTCAGCTGGTAGAAGGTGATGTCCCCCAGAGTCTGGTACACTCGGACATAGAAAAGTGTTTCCTCATCAAACTGCAAAGGAGTTGGACACAGACTCAGCGTCTTCAGGTAGAAATATTCAGCCAGTTCGTACTGTTGCAGAGAGCGGTACAGAGACGCCAGGCGGCAGCAGGCCACTCTCTGGTTCAGATCATCACCTGCAGGAGAAAACACATCAGCATCATCTGTGTGGTCTAGAGTCCATGTTGTCTTTGTACAACAAAGTGTCAGCCATGAAGTGCTGATCATTTGGTAAAAGCCCACAAATCCTTCAAAATTGCTGATCATGGTGGAGGAGTAAGATGTGCAGGGGGGCTCTCAGCGTATTTTTTCACTTAAAAGTGTTTTTTTGGTTCAACTTTCACTGCAAAACCGAATGCCTAATGCTTTGTTGTGGAACCAGCAAGTTTTATTGACGTAGAGAGTTCTCAGAAATGGCAGCGAATCCTAAAAACAGCAGAAGTACTTGTGCTGCAGATTCTAAGCCTGGAACTTCTTCGAGCCGGAGCTGCAACCTCACCCGAGCTGACCCGTGCAAAACGGTTTTCTTTGCTGTTCCTGACGACTTCATCAATAAATTGTATGAACATCATGGATGCCAACTTAATGATTACTGAATGATTTTATAAACACTCATAATGTCTTAGAGACATTTCAGTCTGGCTTTAGGGTGAACCACAGCACAGAGACGGCCCTTTTGAAGATCTTAAATCTTTTTAGATGATTTATGATCAACGGAAGGTGACGGTGTTGGTTCTACTGGATCGAAGTGCTGCCTTCGATACAGTGGACCACACCATTCTTGTAACTCGTTTAAAAACAGATCGGCCTCTCTGGTGCTGTCCACAGATGGTTCACATCCTACCTCACAGACCGGACTTTTATGGTGAGTGGGCCTTCTCATCTCTCAGAACTGCTTTTACCATATGAACCCTCACGGCCTCTGCGCTCCTCTGGTAGGCGTCTGCTGGTCATCCCTAAAGTCAGGACACACACTCACAGCGAGGTGTCCTTCCAGTGTTACGGCCCTCGCCTCCGGAACGAGCTGTCAGAGAACCTCAGGGCCGCAGAGACTGTTCATGTAGTTAAGTCCAGGCTCAAGACCCACCTATTTAGGTTAGCTTTTATCTAATTATTTATTATAGTTTTACTTCTCGTTTTATATGATTATATTTTAGCAGTTTCATTATTTAATAATATAATTATTTTACTGTCTATATGATTTTATTTTTTTCTTAATTTTGTCATTTATATTAGCTCTTGTTTTCATATTTTTACTCATTTTAATCCAGTGTTTTCTCTGTAGGGGCCCTCTGCCCCAGGGGCCCTCTGCCCTAGGGGCGGTGGTCGACTGTTGCTATCTGGGCGCTCTACAGGTGGGGTTTAAGTGGAGGTGGGGGTCTATGCTCCCCCTCCTCTGAGCGCCCTGACTTAGTGTGGAAGACCTGATGCTACCGGGGCAGACGGCTCCTCTGATGGCGTTTCCTTGCCTTACCTTACTTGGCTCATCTGGACTCAGCAGAATATAAATTTTTACTTGTGTGTGTGTGTGTGTGTGTGTGTGTGTGTGTGTGTGTGTGTGTGTGTGTGTGTGTGTGTGTGTATGCGTGTGTTTCAATGTTTTCAAACTGTTATGGGAATTTGGGTTAATTTTAATTCTCTAAAGGACGTAGAGTCGCACTTTGCTTGAAAAGCACATTTTAAATAAAATCTGATTGATTGATTGATTGATTGATTGATTGATTGATGCTGTCCTTCCAGGTCATGAAAGTCATACAAGATATTACATTTGGATCTTACAGCACCACTGCTTAATTTGTGATATATTTCTGTATTTGCTGTAAAGTTGATCACTTTCTGTATAGGCGACAACAATTTTTTTTCTTGCCAGATTTTGACCTTTCTGTCTTGATTAAATGATACATCTTTTTTCAGTGAAAATATTTTTTTCAGTACATTTAACATTATTTGGGAGGGCTGTAGCTTTTCATATAAGCTATTTCTAACACCATTTGATCAATTACAGTTTTTCTCAATAGTTTACCACACACATTTTCAGGTACTTGAGACACAATGACCACAACGTACTGTCACACCCTGTCCTGTCTCCCCATTCTGTTCGGTCCTGTGTCCATGTTAATTGCTCCCACCTGCCTCTCGTCTCCCAATCACCCAAGGTCCCAGCTCCTGTATTCAAACCCTGTTAGTCCATTTTGTCTGGTTGGTTCATTGTTTCATTGTCCTGCGTGTTCCTGATTAAAATCCCTGTTTTAATGTTCCTGTCTGCCTGCCTGCCTCCTTCTTCACCCGCGTGTGGATCTTCACCTCTGTTTCACTCACCAGCATGCCTGACAGAATGAACCAACCCGACAAAGGATCCAGAGGGGAGATTCTCCCCTGGGAGTGCTTGCTCCAATTTCTGACCTCCAACCACCGGCCGGCTTCTCCTCCTCCGGCGTCGCCTCGCCGCAGACGTCGCCGCCGAACTTCAGCCTCGGGGGTCCTCTCCACCCTCCCGGAGCCGGATGGAGACTTGGACGGGGAGGCGCAGATGGACCGCTCCTGCTATGTGGGCACCAGACTGGCTGTGTGCTCCCCCAGAGTTGGCCCACGGCATTGGGAAGGATGCCGGGCTCCACCGTCACCCTTTGTCCCAGGACAGAGCCGCGAGCTCGCCGCTGCCCCGCCTCGGCGCACCAGCTTGGACCCGCCCCTAGTCAGACCAGCAGTCCCGTCTCCAGTCCAATCAGCACCTCCGTCATCAGCAGGCAGAGGAACCACGCCTACAGCCCAGCTGACAGAGCTTGCCGGTCTCCAGGCGGAGCTTGGCCGGATCCGTCAGCTCGTCAGCCTCCAGGGGTCCCAGCTGGACACCCTATCCTCTCCGAATCACCAGGAGAAGGTGTTGGTCCAGTCAGCAGCTCCCTCGTCTCCAGGCCAAGGGATCGAGCCCGCAGTCCACCCAGCAGAGCTTGCCGGTCTCCGAGCTGAGCTGGCCCAACTCCATCAGAGCCTCAGTCTCCAGGAGCTCCAGCTGGACACTCTATCCTCCCTGCTCTCCCAGTTTCCGGCGCCACCAGTTCAGTCCGCTCCAGTCCCAGCGGTGACCCTAGAGGCTCTTCCCCCGGGCCGGCCAGTCCAGAAGTCGGCAGCCCCTCCTGCAGCGGCTCCGCCTCCACTCCAGACATCAACGGTTCCAGTCCAGAAGTCGACGGTTCCGGTCCAGAAGTCGAAGGTTCTGGCCCAGAAGTCGGCGGTTCCGGCCCAGAAGTCGGCGGTTCAGAAGTCGGCGGTCCAGAAGTCGGCGGTCCAGGTCCAGAAGTCGACGGTCCAGAAGTCGACGGTCCAGAAGTCGACGCCTCCGGACCAGAAGTCGACACCCCTTCCAGTCCTGTAGTCAACACCCCTTCCAGTCCTAAGGTCGACGCCCCTTCCAGTCCAGAGGTCGAGGCTCTTTCCAGTCCAGAGATCGACGCTCTTTCCAGTCCAGAGGTCGACGCTCTTTCCAGTCCAGAGGTCGACGCTCTTTCCAGTCCAGCGGTCGACGCTCTTTCCAGTCCAGCGGTCGACGCTCTTTCCAGTCCAGCGGTCGACGCTCTTTCCAGTCCAGCGGTCGACGCTCTTTCCAGTCCAGCAGTCGACGCTCCTTCGTGTCCAGAGGTCGACGCTCTTTAGTGTCCAGAGGTCGACTCTCCCTCGTGTCCAGAGGTCGACGCTCCCTCGTGTCCAGAGGTCGACGCTTCCTCGTGTCCAGAGGTCGACGCTCCTTCGTGTCCAGCGGTCGACGCTCTTTAGTGTCCAGAGGTCGACGCTCCCTCGTGTCCAGAGGTCGACGCTCCCTCGTGTCCAGAGGTCGACGCTCCCTCGTGTCCAGAGGTCGACGCTCCCTCGTGTCCAGAGGTCGACGCTCCCTCGTGTCCAGAGGTCGACCCTCCATCGTGTCCAGAGGTCGACCCTCCATCGTGTCCAGAGGTCGACCCTCCATCGTGTCCAGAGGTCGACCCTCCATCGTGTCCAGCGGTCGACGCTCCTTCGTGTCCAGCGGTCGACGGTCCTTCGTGTCCAGCGGTCGACGGTCCTTTGTGTCCAGAGGTCGACTCTCCCTCGTGTCCAGAGGTCGACGCTCCCTCGTGTCCAGAGGTCGACGCTCCCTCGTGTCCAGAGGTCGACGCTCCCTCGTGTCCAGAGGTCGACGCTCCCTCGTGTCCAGAGGTCGACGCTCCCTCGTGTCCAGAGGTCGACGCTCCCTCGTGTCCAGAGGTCGACTCTCCCTCGTGTCCAGAGGTCGACCCTCCATCGCGTCCAGAGGTCGACCCTCCATCGCGTCCAGAGGTCGACCCTCCATCGCGTCCAGAGGTCGACCCTCCCTCGCGTCCAGAGGTCGACCCTCCCTCGTGTCCAGAGGTCGACCCTCCATCGCGTCCAGAGGTCGACGCTCCCTCGTGTCCAGAGGTCGACGCTCCCTCGTGTCCAGAGGTCGACGCTCCCTCGTGTCCAGAGGTCGACGCTCCCTCGTGTCCAGAGGTCGACGCTCCCTCGTGTCCAGAGTTCGACGCTCCCTCCAGTCCAGAGGTCGACGCTCCCTCCAGTCCAGAGGTCGGTGCTCCCTCCAGTCCAGAGGTCGGTGCTCCCTCCAGTCCAGAGGTCGGTGCTCCCTCCAGTCCAGAGGTCGGCGTCCCCTCCAGTCCAGAGGTCGGCGTCCCCTCCAGTCCAGAGGTCGGCGTCCCCTCCAGTCCAACGTCTCCGTCGTCTCCAGTCCAGTGGTCGACGCCGTCTCCAGTCCATTGGTCGACGTCCCCTTCAGTCCAGAGGTCGACGCCGTCTCCAGTCCAGAGGTCGACATCCCCTCCAGTCCAGAGGTCGACGTCCCCTCCAGTCCAGAGGTCGACGCCGTCTCCAGTCCAGAGGTCGACGCCGTCTCCAGTCCAGTGGTCGACGCCATCTCCAGTCCTGTGGTCGATGCCGTCTCCAGTCCCGTGGTTGACGCCGCCGTCTCCAGCCCAGAGGCCGACGACTCCGCCTCCAGTCCAGAAGTCAAGGACGTGTCCTCCGGCGTCTCTGCCTCCGGTCACCGCCAGTCCTGCCCTCACCAGACGCAGGCCCCAAAGAGCCTGTCGTGACCTCCTCCTCTGCCCAGAACAGATGGCCCAGAACAGCC